TTATTATCGTCATTATTAGCATTCTCATTTTTTTGAAATTTATTTTGGTTTCGACGTGGCTCTTTTCACGCTCAAGTAATTTTGATTCTTTTGCTTTTTAATTTTAAATATGTTAGCTAAAACTTGTTATTCTCCCACAGGCATTGTCTTTCTACGGTTACAATTGGTGAGTGCTATAGTTTTTGTAATTAACCCTACGGTAGTACTATTTAATGTTCCTTGTATCATGTTATTGTTAGATTTAAGTCTTCCATATTGTGTGTTGGCTCTTTTAGTCATTTCATTTCGGGATTTATACGTTACAAAATTTTGGAGTTGCACGTTTGTAATTAAGTCATCTAGATCGTAAATTGAGTCCATAAATTTTTTTAAAGGATATTATTGTAGTTGATGATGTTTATCCAAAAATTTTTTTTTCAGAAGCCTCCATTTGTGAACTAGATTTTTGATAAATACGTATGCATTTTTCTACAATTTTTTACTGGCGTCTTCAGAGTCTACTTTCTTGACTGGAATAGGTTTATTAGGTGAGGGCTTTGACGGTTACTTTCTTAAAGATTAAGTTTTTTTCGCTGTATTTGTAGTGTTGAAGGCCTGAAGGACCACATGAGCTCCAAACATACAAATTTCCTAACCAAGATTTTACTCCTTCTTGAAAAAAAATTTTTTTCATCAGAAAGTGACCATGTAATTACTGATTTTTCTGCCTGTTTAAATTGTTCAGTTATATGGGGCGAGAAGCAATTATCAGGCTTTTTGAAGGTTATGAGGAAATAATCTTCACTTATTTGACCAACTTTTTTCTTAACTTAAAATGATGACTTTGTTACAGCTATAGTTTGAATGCTGTAAATGATTAGGATCAGGGACTTAAACTTGAGGAAAACACACTGTGCAAAACTTTGGGGTGATCTTGACTGGATATAGCGTATTCATATGCTTGAGGGTATCACAAAACTAGATGGTGTTTTTTGAAATGGCAGAAAAGCAGAAAAAAGAAATATGAACATATTTCTTCTGAAACTGAACTCAAAAGTTTCTGTTCGCAAGGCTTATTTCAGCCACATCGTTCTGCGCCTCTAGAACATTGCGCAGCCGTAAAAGTTAGGGATTTGTCGTTTGAAGCTAGGTTTTCAGAAGAGGAGAATAAAGTATGTATAGTATCCAGAAGATGCGAAGACATTTTATTTTGCAAGAGTGATTGCTTTTCTGACATTGTTGTACAACGGGAACTAAAGAATGTCACTGGCGTTTACAATTTAGGATGGGTGAGACAGGGTGCAACATTGTTATTAGAATGTAGTACAGTTCTTAGCAAATTTGATTTGTTATTTATGTTTTTATAGGGGAGGAGTTATTTTGTTAAGATGTTCATTGCTGGATTGTATTGTTAAATGGGAAATTTAACAGTAAACCGGCGCTGGAAGCCTGTGTTTGTGAAGTGGATTTGTCCGTTTTTGTGGACATCATTTTTTATTTTCCTTTTAGTTTCATCTAGATTTTAGGACTGTTTTGAATGAAATGTTAACTTTTTCTGTTTACAGACGAGTAGGCGAAATTATGCCATCAAGAATTATCAAAAATTACTACGCGTATGGTTTTTAAGAGGAAATTACCGTTTTGAAAAATTTTAAGGTAGAGTCTTTGCAAGAAAACCAACGCAATTTCTCGCTGCTTTTTTCATTTTGAGGTGTTCACTAAAAGTGTTCTTACAGTAGTGGTCTTTATGTACCTCTGGATTTCACTATAATATCGTAAACTCTTCGAGTCTGCATATTTTGCTATTTCAGGTTTACATTGATGGCCCTTCCATTGGTCAGTCCTATGATTCAAATTATTCCTTACAGAAACATTTCCGTTATCGTCGTGCTTGTACACGAGGAGCAAAACATGCGAAAAAATGTTACCGGTTATTTTTGGAAGCAAAGTTTCCAGTATCATCTCTGACTAAATTGTTGTGCCATTTTACTTTGCGAGGACACAGGGTGATTGCTTTTTTGCCATCGTTGTACGATGAGAAGAATTCAGCTGTCACAGGCATATACGAATTGGCTGATTTAATAAGTGATTTGGAGGAATTTCGGGTTTTACAGTCGCTTGGCTTGATTGAATTTTTGGATGAAAAGGGTAATTTTGGAAGAGCTTTAGCACTAAAAGCTGAAAAAGAGGACGCTGTAATTGCCAGCTCTAATATAAAAGTTCTTCTGGAGAGCCGTGATAATGAATTTTTAACGGTTAATACTTTTGAGGAGTCTTCCATATCTCTAGATCAGGCTGAAATGGATAATGCTAACGGTAAACCGCCTACAGCACAGTTAAGTACCGGGGAACCGCTTTGCAGAGCTGCACTGAATGGTAATACTGCAATGGGATCCGGGCTTTCTGACCTGTCATTTGTAGTTCCTGTGTTCTATTCTTTCCTGGAACGGAGAGGGTTTGTTATTTGCCCGTCGCTATCGAAAGGCGTGTACCCTACTACACTTGAGGAGATATTGTATAAGCAAAGTCTTAAAAGTAACAGTGGTGTTGCTGCTACGACGGATCAGCTAACTCTTTTGGAACAGTATCGCTTGACGAGAGCGTTTAGCAGAATTCTCACAGGTTATTTCAACGGAATACCTCGTTTCCAGCGAGTTCTTCAGATTTTGGAAGAAGTCTTAAGTTTTGTTGACCGTCAGGACAATATTGTAAACGAAGTCCGCGAAGGCTAGTTTTACATTCGGAACTTCCTTCTTGTTTATTAAAACTTTATTTTTCTTGGTAATTAATATGACTGAAGCTGCTGTGAGCTTATTTGGAATCGAAACACTTCCAGTCTTATTTTTGTAGAACTTTTAGGCTGCAAGAACAAGTTTTAGACTCGCAGGCTTTCCCATTTAGAGTTAAGTCAAGCTGTTTTATTTTCTTGGGGGGTGTGGTTAACAGACCTTTAAAACATAGCGGAGGCATTTTTTTATAGATACATTTAGGACGTATTTTACTATCAACAAAGTTTTTCGTTATCTAAGTTTTTGAAAACTTGACACTGTGTTGGCTGAGTCAAAGTTTTACAATTTTTTTGTATTCTGTTTTGAAGTTTCTAGAATCTACGAAGTAATTTAGAAAGAATTAAGGCTCACTTCTGATCTGCCAATGCTTACATTATTTTTTCGAGTTTCTTCTCCCTCTTTGACGTCGTCAGCTAAAAAAATTTTTTTGATACAGTACTGGTAGTGTTGGGTTAAGGAAAGTGTCTGGTAAAGCGGCGATTTTTTAGTTGTTCAAACAGTACATCTGATTTTTATTGAGTTTACACGGAATTTTCGCTCAGCTTTGTCAGTTTTATTATCTCATAAAGATCAATTTCAAGTGTTTTATGAAGAAGAAAAGCTTTTTTTAAAACTACCGCTTAATTGCCTGCAAATTTGCTTATCAAATCTCGCTCTCTGTCGCTTATTGTCGCTTACCGTTTTCTGATGGTATTTGCCCCACAATATTCTCACCAGTAGGGAGTTTTTAAGGTTATTTTCAGACTGTGAAAGAGATGCTGAAGTTTTCTCAGTTGGTAGCATCAGCTTTGTGTATTTCATTGTGAACTCGTAAAATAGCAGTTAATGTCATGTGGAACTCTGCTTGAAAAAAAGAAGTGACCGGAAGAGAATTAAATCATTAGTAAAGGCAATGCTATTGAGTACAGTTCCTAGTAATCCGTTGAATAAGAAGACATTTAAGTTTACAGAAAGACAGCCGTGCTAAAAGTAATTTGGCTCTATCCAGCTTAGTAACGGTTAATTGTTTGGTTTTTGTTTTTGAAGTAGGTTGAGGTTTCTCTCTTTGCAAAATTTTGATGAAGTTGTTAATATATTCGTGGGAATGCACGCGGTTCCCACTTCTTTATAAGTTAATCTGGTTATTTAGGAAAGTTTTTCTTTTTCTATAATCTACCAGCATACCAGAAGGAATTAAAGTTTCGTTTAACACTTAGTGTATACACTAAAAATTAAATGAACATTTCACATTTTGTAAATGACCGAAAAGTATTTGATTTTATAGAGGAATTGGTGCTGTTTGATGACGATTTTGTTGTGCCGTCGTCTGATGGGCCGTCTTAATCGCTCTCTCAGTTAAATCGAAACTCGTTTGTTAGTCGTTTCTATTTCTGCTTTGGTGTGAAGGGCTTTGAAGAAGTGTGTTAGGAGGAGAAAGTAGTTTTTCTTCAGGTGTTTTTGTCTTAGAATATCACTTCATTGAATGCAAGAACGGGAACCGCATCTCTTGATTTTTCCTTCTATATTTATTTTTTCCTTAAGACTGACATTTGTTGTACTCACTGTTCGAATTTATGTCTACCGTCTTTCCACTTTTTCTTAGTGGCGTCCTGCAACATCTTTTCTATTTTAAAATTCCATCACTGTTGAAGTTGCTTCAATTTTTACATGTTCAATCATGTTCAATATAAATTTAAAAGTAAGTTACTTGAGTGATTTTTTTTCCGATTGGCGCAATTCATTTATGATAGGCCTTCTAAAAATCTTATGAATAGCGTGATAAATGCTGAGATTTTATCGAACAAATGGTTTATCTATATTCTGTGCACAAGCTTATAAGGTCCACTGGATATTCTAATTGGTAGCTTGTTTCTTTTAGAGGAAAGTTAAATGAAGTATTAAATTTGTCAGGTTTTTAGAATGTCTGGTTTTTTCATGTTACTCAGCAATGAAATTTTTTATTAATTCTTGTATTTTTCGTTAGCTTGTGTGCAGTCCTGTTATATATTTTCTTGCATTCCCAAAATGGATTCTGCTTTTATTTTGAAGTATTCTTGTTTGTATATACTGGTGGAATAAGGCCAATGTTTTCGTTCACGCGTTTTTTTTCCATGTTGCGTTTGTATAAAGGGTTTCATCGTTATTCGTAGTGAACAGCATCTAGTACAGCATTTTGTTCACTTTTCGAGAGATCGAGCCGTACTGCGATGTCCGTAATAAGTATTATAAAAAAGAGTTGCATGAGGATTTTTTCAGTTTGGAATAGAATCATGTCGACGGCAGTCGCCTCTTCGTTAGGCTTTAATTATGATGCTCCATTATCTAAGAGTGAGCCTTTAGTCATGGCTGACTATATATCAGAAATAGCGTATCCGATGTTGGATGTAGAACTGATGCTTCTTGAACAGAGAGGTGCAAGGGAGGTTAGTGGTGCGTCTTGTTTTTGGAATTTTTTCTGAGTTTTACGATGTACTGGAAGATTTGGTAGTCTTAAGTGAATAAGGTTTGAAGTTTGAGTTTTAGGTGAAATTTTCCAATGCGCTTGTTTAGGTGCCTTTTCCTGGCATGGACAAAAGTGGTCGGGGTGTATGTATTCGAAACGAGCAGGGAAAGTGTTTGATGGGCGCTGTCTGTCCTTTACGGCACATTGTCGGTGACAAAGTTAGTTGATTTCCATCGATATTGATTGCGGGAGTCTTCCTGATTCCTGCCCATTTCATGGATTTGAAGTGTTACATTAGGGTTCGTTCTTGTTTGTTTGGATTTATTTTTTCGTTTTTACGTCTTTTTAGGCAGTCGTGTGCAAACATTGGCTTCGTGGCCTTTGTAAGAAAGGCGATCAGTGTGAATTTCTTCATGAATATGATCTTAGCAAGATGCCAGAATGTTTCTTCTTCTCAAAATACAGTAGGTTTTGCGAAGTTTAATAGTTGTTTTATAATATACGGTTTACTGTAGAAGGGTGTTTTTAGTGGCATGCAGCAACCGTGAATGTCCATTTCGCCATATTGACCCTGAAAGTAAGATTAAAGATTGTCCTTGGTTTGATCGTGGTTTCTGCAGACATGGTGAGATTTTCACATTTATAAATTACCCGAATTATTGTTAATTTGATACAAATTTAAAGAGTTCAGTTTAGAAGCCATTTTGGGAGCCAGTCCTGTATTGTTTCTCCATGTTCTAGGTCCTATGTGCAAACATCGGCATCGCAGGCGCGTATTGTGTCCTAATTACCTTGCTGGCTTTTGCCCAGAGGGCAAAAATTGTAAGTATGCACATCCTTCTTTTAACCTTCCCCCTGCAGAAGTTTCTCAGGGACAGCGAATTAAAGGAAACCTTGGCATCGTGTGTCACAACTGCCATGAAAGGGGTCATAAAGCAAGTTACACGTTTTTTTAAAGGTTTATTGACTTTTGGGAGAGTTTTAAAGGGGGTTTCTGCTTTCTATACTGCAGAGGTAGATTTTTTTTCTTTGTTTGATTGGTCATTTTCTAATGCATGTAAGAAGTTCGCCTTATTCCTTTTATTTCTTTGGATTTTCAAAAAGGGCAGTTTAGGCGACCTACTGTCCTCACCTTCCTACACAGTCTCAGTTACCTGTTATGGATGCATCGCAACCCACTCCTCATGAACCAGCCGTACAAATACCTGTCCCTGATAAAAAAGCTCTTTCTGAAGTGACTTGTTACAAGGTATCTTCTGAATATTTTACATCACCGGGTTTACTCATCACAAATATTTTACCATCAAAAAGAAATTTTTTCTTTGGATGAGAAATTGCGTGATTTCTACCTTCGCATAGAGGCTTTGCACGAATAATATTAGCAGATGATGAAGTAAAGTTTTTTTTAGTGCGGTGAAAAAGGTCATTATGCAAATCGTTGTCACAAAGGTGTTCTTGCGTTTCTATCAAATACAGCACATTTGGCTCATGAACAGCGAGAGCGTGATGAAAAAGAAGGACGGTAATTTTTTTGTTTGATAGTTTCAAATGTAGGTTGTTTATCAGCAGTGTGCCATTGATCTTGATCCTGCACTGCTTCATACTAATTATGATGATGCATGAAGTGCTTATGTGAAAATCCTACTCGATGTTTGCAGGTTTGCTAATCAAGCTTATTTTGGCGGAGCGGCTAATCGGGCACAACCTCAAACGCAGTTGCAAAATTTCTCTTTGAACAACAAATCTGGCGAAATGCTTCGTTAAAGATATTTAAGATACGAGGCTGCTTAATCAATATTATCTGAGATCGATAGTCGTGTTGCTCAACTTCATCTTATCTCAGTCAAATTTTTCTATTCAGTTCCTATTGTTAATTTATTAAGCGATACCTCATGGTATTGTACTTTATTCTTTACTTTTAAAAGGAAGTACATTGATTTGGTTATAATATTGTGAAAATTGTTGGTTTTTTAACCCGTTTTTTATCTTTGTTTCCGTAATAAAGGTCTCACAATGACTCTTATTGTTAATAACGGTGTTAAACTCAAGTTCCTAGTTTTTTTTTTT